CCGGCCGGGGTCACTCTGGGAGGCTGTGGGCACCCGGCTGCGTGCAGGCGGAGCACGTCGTGGGTCTGTGTCGCGGGCGTGCAGGCAGCGGAGCTTCTGCGCAGAGTGACATGGGGCAGCCCGAGGAGCCACGTTTCCCCATTGCCTGGAGGTTTTTGTTCATTCGTGTCGGCAGCACGTTTCATTCATGGCGTCTTTCTTCCGAGAGCGTCAAGCACGTGCAGACAAAGAAACTAGAGAATGAAGCAGCTGAGACTTCAGGAAGTCAAGAGACTCGAGCAGCCACTGGCAGAGACTGGGGGTAAACCAGGTCATGGCTCCATCCACTATTTTGTCCTTGAGCCACCATCTAAGAACACACCTGAGATGGGCATGTTCAGTGGGCTTGAGACTCCGACAGCAGTGACAGGACAGTTCTCTGAGACCCTGCAGAGGGGGCCAGGGGCTGCTTCCAATAGTTCATAGTCTGCAGGGATCCGAGCAAAGACGCACTTGTGCTAGGGCTGCACAGACCAGCTCAGTACAGACTAGTTCTGCTCGCAATCTGTTTGCGTGTCTTCCCTAATTTCTAAATATTATTAGGATTAAACAATCATCTAACTCAGCATTTAATTTTAGCTTTACTAATGTTTCTAAATTGGGAAGATAAACAGCACTCAACCTCACACCTCCAGTCTATGAAAGATTCTTATTGAAGCACTCTAGCCAGGGAATTTCTTTAACTCAGCCAAAATACACCAAAATTACCAAATGGAGAAAATAACTCCTGTCTGCACTTCTCACTAGGCCAAGCATACTCAGTGCCTTATGATATTTCTTGTGTTCATGTTTTGCCCCCACCATAAAGTCATGTCCCCTGCTGAGCACTTCCTGCCCACCTTTCTGAAGCCAGGTTGGCCTTTCAGACAAGGTAAGGGACCCTCCATTTGAGGTCCCAGAGCCCTGAGTACACCTCCACTTCTGCTAACTACCTTGAACTTGAATGCTCCAGGGAAGGGACTCTCCCTGAACCTCACCCAGGGCTGTGATTCCACTTAAGCAGAAACCATGTATCTGGCACCTAATGGGTACTTACATGTTTGTGGGGTGTGCATTTCTTGTAAATCTAGCCAGCAAAATACCCAAATGTTTTTCCCAAGTAATAGCCACCACTGTCCACTTTTTAAGACCCCTCTGATTCTTCGTTATTGTAAATAAAGTTCTGAAAAATGACTTCACAAAAATGATAGACTTTTAGCCCCTGATTGGCAAATGACAATGACTTTTGAAGCTGGTGACCAGGAACACTCCCAGTTTCTCCTTTACAGGGACAGCGTGACAACTTTACAGTTGGCAAGAAGGACACCTTTTTAGGAAACTTGTCATTATGAGATACTGGAGAATTGGGCAGTAACAGAGACAGTATGTGGCAGTACACTCCTTTACACTCTCTGAAGCCTCAACATTGATAACACTGTTGCTGATTTGAATTACAGCTCAGTCACGGGTCTGAAGCCTTTGCATTTTGTCTTAAAGCTCTTCCAACAATGGCTTTCTCAGAAACTTAAAAAGTTGTAACAGGTAACCAGTGAAGAAACAAAATGAAAAAATATTTTGCTCTGGCAGGAAAAATAAATGAACAAACACAGTACTTGATTAATAGAATACTTTCATTTTACTTATTTTAAAAATAAAGTTCATTTATTTAATTTTCTAGTCCCAGTTAAAGAGATGGGAGGGACAAAAATAGGCACATATGATGCCTGACAGAGACAAGAGAGAAAAACCACTTGAAAAGAAAAATGAAAGCTCAAAAATAGCCTCGTTTGAGTCTAAATAGCACTGGGCAACTCATGGTCTTAACTGCATTAAATTTTATTGCATTAAATTCCAATGCAGTAAGTAACTGACCTTCACCATGGTGAGCTGAGACAAAGAACAGGATCTAGAATGCCCATGGACACATCCCATAACTGTGCTCAGATTCCTCATCTGTATATGGGATAATGAAGCCTTACTTAAAAGATTTACTAGAGTTAGGATATGGGGGCCCGCAGGAAATGAAAGCTGTTATTCTTCTGCTTAGGAAG